AAGCAGTGTGGCCTTTCCCTGGTTGTTTAGCATCTCAGGTCCTTAAATCTTGCCTATAAAGTATAAAGATTTGGTTTCTTTCAAATAAAATATTTTATGAATAGGTTCATATAATCTTACAGGTCTGAAGCTTCTTCTCTTTTATTAAAAATAAATATGTATTGAACTCCCTCTGAGTCCATGCGAGGTGTAAGCTAAGCATATCACGTGTATTTATCACCCCGTGATGCAGGTACTACTGTATGGATAGATATGGAGCTCTGGGAATAGAAGTTAGTTTATCAAAGCCAGCAGACAGTGGAACTGGGATTTATACTCACGTCTGCCCAGCTCCATGCTCATTAGGCTGTGCTTTTTCAGTTTGGCATGGAAGAAGACTTTTAATCCATCTTAATTTGAGAATGTATTACTTTCTACAGGGTGATTTTTCTCTTCCACCCTTATACTTTCTGTATTTTCCAAAGCCCAGGGGACTGAAAGAACGTTTGTACTACCCTGAGTTTCATTCTATAAACCGTCCCTGAGGATTTTAAATCCTCCATCATTTTTAAAACTCATCAGTTTAGTGTTCAGTTCTTTCCTTTTCAGCACACTGTTTCTGTGGTTTCTTTATGTAAAGATGACCGAATGGAACTTCTAATATTGTTGGATATTATTAAAAATTAGTTTGGTTAAAGGAAAGGATCTTGGTTTAGGATTTGGAGGTTAAGGCTGTAGTTCTTCTCTGAAATTTATTCTATTATGGCACAAACAATACTCCTTTGCCACATTTAGGTTATGATAAAGTAAAAGATCAAATATATGAAAAAAATTTAGGCTCATAGAAACAAAGTTTCTCTGTGTGCCAGCAATAGTTGCAGTGGATTACTGGAATCAGAATTAAAGCAAAATAGCCAGGCATGGTGGCGCACGCCTGTAATCCCAGCACTTGGGAGGCTGAGGCAGGAGGATCGTTGCGAGTTCGAGACCAGCCTGGGCTACAAAGTGAGCTCAAGGCCAGCCTGAACTGCATAGCAAGACCCTGTCTCCAAAAGACAAAAAAAAAAAAAAAAAAAAAGAATTAAAGCAAAATAATTTTGGGCTTATTGTGGCGTTGTGCAGATATACTTAAGGTAGTTATATCTCATTTGATTTGGTTTATGTATAATGCCAGACTTAGACTTTGGAGATCTATGTAGGGCATATAGGCAGAGAGGCAATACAATTGATATTTGAATTATCTTGTAGTAAGTAACACAGTGTCTGTACTTTAGCCATTGAGTAAAAACTTAGAAATGTTTTATTATCTGAGTTGTGTAGAGTAAGACAAAAGAATAGGAAGGGAAACTGGATTATGAAAGTTAGTTTACCAGATTAGAAGGAAAGAGGAAGGAGAATTTCAGGAGAAATGAGGCTCTCCAGAGTCATGCAGAAGCATCTTGAACCGGAGTTTGGATGAACTGTGCGTGAACAGTTCAGTGCTTGGTCAGCAGAGGTGTTGCTGAATTGGAAAGCCATGCTCTGCCATTTCTGAAACACAGCGAGGCAGCAGGCGAATAGTTGGCAAGGCCATCCATATTCATCTCACAGTTCAGACTTACTTCCCCAAGGTGCCCCATGTAGGAGAGAGATGAACAGGGAAGGACAAGGTGTATTTATTTTGTGGTAGGTGGAATGGAAGGATCAGGGTTGGACTTTCTGGTAAACCATTAGCCTTTAAGGCTGTTGTTTGAGTGTTTTCAGCATTTCCTAAACTGCTCAGTCAGGTACTACACTCAAGACTTTTTGCTACGCTCATAATTTCTTCTTTATTTTTAAACTTGAATAGATTTTAAACAAGAACTTTATACATCTGTTGTGTGCTAAGATTTGATGTGATAGTTACAGTTTTTCCCAATGTCCATTGAAATCAGTATACAAAATTAGCATAAATGCTGTCTATTTGTGGTCCCCTTAAAATTATCATAAGACACACTGCTTTCCTTCTGGTGTAACACTTTACAGAGTGGGTAGCAGCGTGCATAAGGTTGATAGTCAAAGGACAAACCCACAGACTGGAAATAGGTGCTGTGGGTAGGATTTGTACAAAGGTATGCAGCGATACGTGGGAACTGGTGTTCCTGTAAGTTGTTAGCCTAAAGCAATTTTGGGTTAGGCTTTAAGCTTCTCTCTCTTTCTCTCTCAATCTCTCTCTCTCTCACTCACTTGCTCTCTTGCTCTCTTCTTTCTTTCTTAACAACAACAAAGCTGTTGAATAGCAGTTAGGCCACTTGTTTCTAGGCTTTGTATTTTTGCCTATTAATTTCTTGGCAGAAATTCTTTTCTGGAAAATTTCAAACTTGCCTGGGCTTTAAATAAGGGGAACAGAATGTCTCCTTGTTTATTTCCATGGTGAGATCTACTCTACCAGCTGTTAAGCCCCAGAATTTAGTTCTGAGCCAGCTTCTGAGCTGCCTTTTAAAAATCTATTGATCAATATGTATTTATTTGTCATTGCATGTTTGTAATACACTCATTGTGGGGAACTGGTACATGTTCAGAACACATCTCAATTCTTCCCCTTTCCACTCCAGCCCCCTCTTTTTGCCTGCATCCGATTCATTTATTTATCTTACAAATCCTTATAAAGTTAATTATAATACATACAGGTTGACAGCCAGACTAACGGGCCAAAAATATATAAAGCCATAACACTATTACACTAAATCGAGGTATACTTTTAGATACATTGTCCATGCTAGATTGTAGTAACTTTCTTCTCTTGTTTTTTTCTATTGTCTGTATTCATTTTGTACTTTATTTATATATTGAGTTTCTCATATAAGAGAAACCATAGGATATTTAAGTTTGTGTGTCTGATTTACTTCACTTAACATTATGGTTTCAAGGTACATCCACTTTCTTTCAAATGACTTAAGTTTATCCTTCTTTATGGCAGAGTGGTACTCTATTATGCATAAATACCACATTTTCTTTATCTCTTTCTTTATCTGTTCCTCTCTTGATGGGTATATCGGCTGCTTCCAAGATTTAGTTATTATGAATTGCACTGCTATAAACATGGGTATATCACTATGGTATGATGTCTTTAACTCTTTTGGGAAGATATCTAGAAGGGGAATAGCTTGGTCAGATGGAGTTTCTATGTTTAGTTTCTTGCGGAACCTCCATACTGATTTCCATAGTGGTAAGGCTGTGGGAGTTGAAGCAGGGAAGGGACCCCTTTGCACTCTGAGCTGCCTTTTATCTGTCAGGTTCAGCATTGCACTTTGCGATGTGCAGAGAAGCTATGGCTCCTCCTTCTGAGAAGTATGGTAAGGAAGCAGATCCATCCTCTTTTATATGGTGTGTGCCAGACACAAAGAAACTAACTCCTCACATAGATCAACAAAGGCCTTCATAGCTTGAAGAACATTGGTGGCATAGAAGGTAGGGAGCACACGATTTGGGACCCTGCGAGTGCTGGGTCCTGGCTCCTTAGGTGGCCTCCGTGGATGAGTGTTCTGCAATTTCTTGCAGGGTTCTGCATTGTCCTACATGCTTTTTCCCACAGCTGTTAATGTTTTAAATGTGCAGTAACTCAACTCCGGCGGTGATACTCTCAATGAATTTGGAGCAGTAATCAGAATCACCAAAAATAGTTGTAATATAGGCAGTGTCATCTCCAAAGGCACATCGCCATGAGGTTTTGTGCCTGAGGGTCAACTCTTCTTGTTTAAATATACTCAGGCATGTCTTTGTAACTGGAAGACTACCAGAAGAAGGCAGAAGTAGCTGGGATAGTAGGGTGCAGTTTCTCAGGTTTTGCTTGTGGACACCCCAGTGTAAGGACTGGAGCAGCCCTCACTATCTCAGAGACTCCAAGGCTCGGTAGAAAGGAGGTGTGTAGAGCGGGGGAGAAAGACAGAAACAACTCGGCCTTTGCAGTGGCAAAATATTGGGGAATGTTTATGCAGAATCTGAGATGGAAAAACTTCTGGTCTCTGCGTATCTTCTTACCTCTTCCCTGGTAGTTCAAGTACCCCCGCAATCCCTGCCATTAAAAAAAAAACCAATTGCAAGAACTTCAGTTGCATGCATGTGGGAGCCAATTAAAGGTGAACTGAGTCTTCCAAACTGTCCTCTCCCCAGGTGCCTAAATCCTTGCACTATTAATTGCATTGATGACAGCATCCATTGGGAGTTTAATATACGTGTTCAGGCTTTTTTTTTTAAGTGTTAGCAGTATTGTTCTCTGAAAGTAGCAAGAAATAATCCCCTGGAGGAATTGAACATAACTTGAGACAGGCACTTTCTGTGTTGCCAGAGACCACACCCCTTCTCAGGCTTAACCTCAGAAGACTGTTGCTTTTGGCTGATTCTCTGACCTTGAAGGTTTTTGCAGCCGCCTTGAAGCTTTGGGGTACTAGACATAATATGAACAGGGCCTAAGCATTATTTCTATTTTATAAGTTTTATTTAGCATTGCTGCATTAAGTTTTTTATTCATCAGAAGTTCTACTCTTGAATCTGAAGTGCTTCACAAAACCACTGCATTGAGTTTTTGGGTGTGTGTATTTAAAGTCTAAAGCACGGTGGAGAATTTACTGATGATCAGAATAAGGCAGCGGCCAGGGCTGCCATGTTGCCTTTCTCTTGGAGACAGAGCAATGGCTTGACCTTCAGTGTGTGTTCAAATCTTAATTTTTCTCTTCTGAATGTGATGAGGCAGATTTTCCTTGGAAAAATAGTTTGGGTTCAGCTTGGGAGGCTGAGTTTTCACCATCGGTTTTTCCCTTTAATAATTGAAAACTACTGTTCATTATTTACACAAGACTGTCTTTTTCTGGTCTGCTTTCTATAACCTTTCCCCTCTTAAGAATTTTAAGAATTCCCTGACTTTCCTCTGGGGGATTTTATGCCTGCTTTATCCCAGATGTGAGACATAGACGAGGCTGAGGTTTCTTTTTTCTTTTTTTTTTGAGTGTTCATACATTTGAAAGATGTTCTTTTAACCAGTGCACAAATCTGCCCCTGACTGAAGAAAAGGAAGTCAGATAGGTAAGAAAATATTTGAGCTTGGTTTAAATTTCTGACTTACTGAAAGACCACCAAAATTCCACACACAAAATGAAAAGTAGACAGTAGTTTCAAATATTAAGAGGAGATGCACATGTGTTATTTCACCTTTTTAATCCTGAATGAAGGCATGTCAGGTTCTAGTTCCAGCAGTCTGGTCTTGGGCTTGCTCCCCAACTTACAGGCTTGGCAGATGTTTATTCCATCTTTATCTTCTCTGTCTCCATCTTCTGTTCACACAAAGAGAATGTTTAGTCTTACTCATAATATTGTGTCTGCCTACATTCTCGTAGACGTATTGATTCTAATCCCTGGTTCAGAATGTAAAATGCTAGGAAGAGGGGAGAAGTTAGAACAAAGGAGGCAATGTTAATAAATGCAGGATTTTTTATTTTATGTTGTAATGCCTACTCAGATTCCCAGACAATATGTCACCACCAGTTTCTAGTAATTGTGGTTTATGTCTTAATATCTAAAAAAAACACCATGAGATCTAAACTTTTCTGTATGGTAATATGTGAGCAAAAATACCAAGAAGACCCTTTTCTTCCCTACTTGAATAAATATACTGTTTTCCTAAGTTCAAAATTGTGTTTCCCATAATGAATACAATTCTGACATAGCGTGTTTCATTGTATAAAATCAGAACTTAGCTAGGTTTTAGGAAGTTTTTCTTAACTCAAATTTTTTATATTTAAAAAGTCAAAATCCATAAACCTTATATTTTAAGATTTAGGCATTTTCTTAATAAGGACTCTATCTCCCATAAATTTCCAACTATCCCATGTTCCCTAGGCTGACATGCAGTCTTGGACTTTGTTTTTCATCTCCTGTAGGATCTTTCGAAGATGTTTTGGCTGCCTTGGAGATTTGGAGATCTGATGCCACGATGAGGACTCACACACGGGGGGCTCCCAGTGTGTTTTTCATATGTCTGCTTTGCCTGGGGTCAGCCCACACTACAGATGAGAACCCAGAAGTCCTGATTCCCTTCACCAACGCCAACTACGACAGCCACCCCATGCTGTACTTCTCCAGGTCACAGGTGGCAGAGCTGCAGCTCTGGGCCGTGAGCTCACACGAGCACATCGCGGCCCGGCTCACTGAAGCTGTGCACACCATGCTCTCCAGCCCTTTGGAGTACCTCCCTCCCTGGGACCCCAAGGACTACAGTGCCCGCTGGAATGAAATCTATGGGAACAACTTGGGCGCCTTGGCCATGTTTTGTGTGCTGTATCCCGACAACATTGAAGCTCGAGACATGGCCAAAGACTACATGGAGAGGATGGCGGTGCAGCCTAGTTGGTAGATTTTTGTCTTTTTCTTCTTACTGTATTCACTTTGGAATTGAAAGAAATTAATTCATACTCAAATGAAATCTCAGAGATCAGGTTTTCACATATCTTCTTGTGTGTATATGTGTGTGTAGGGAGGGATTGCTTGTTATTTGTGTTGCCTGTGGCTTATGAATGGCCCACAGTTTCAAAAGACCTGGTAATTTCCATATTTCAGGGTGGAAGGGAGAGGTTTGCATGCAGCTTACCCAGAGAGAAAATAATTTAGAGAAATGAGTCAGCAGTGCACATGCTAACTGTTGAGAATTCTCCTCACTTGTTAACATGCATAGTGTGTGCAGTTACGCATCGCTTACTGACGGAGACACGTTCTGAGAAATGCATCTGCAGGTGACTTAATCATTGGGCAGATGTCATAAAATGTACGTACACAAATCTAGATGGTATACCCTGTTACACTTGGCATTAATAAGTAAATAAGTAACTAGGAAATAAACAGGCAATGTGAGGTTACTGCTGGCATAACATGGTACAGTGTTTTATAGTAATTGTTTTTAACAAGTAGAAGGAATGTGCTATAAAAGAACATTAATAAGTATAGTATAAGAAGTACATAAATTAGTAACAATTTATCATCATTGTCAAGTATTGTGCAATATACATAATTTTATGTGCTCTACTTTTATATGACTGAAAGTGGAGTCAGTTTGTTTATACCAGCATCAGCGCAAATGTGAGTAATGAATGTGATGTGATGACGGCTATGATGTCACTAGGCAATAAGAACTTTTCAGCTTAATTATAATTCTATAGGAACAACAGCACCAGATGTATGTGGTCCTGTGCTGACCAGAAACCATTATGTTCTGCATAACTGTATTCCCATGTTAACTGATCCCCCTCAGTGGTTAAAAGCTTTGGCCAGCAAGAAATTTCACTCAATTAAGACTTATTTGCACTACACAACAATAAGGAACCAAAAGCCAATGTGTTAGGTAGGATTAGCGGGCAGTTTATAAACAAGATTCTATCCAGTTAACCAGCAGATTGCCCAATCATGTAGGAAAACCAGTGTTACATTGTAATCAGTGTGAAGGATTCTAATTATGTAATAGTTTACTTTCAGAAGTTGAAGATTCAAGAACAAACTTGTCCCTTTTTGGTTACCTTGCATTTGTTTTATTTGTTTGTAATTAATGCTTCCATAAAAATATGGGTTCAATTGACTAAACTGGGAATTCTACGGGCTTTTTAGTTTTACAAATAATATGAAATAGCCTTTTAAAATTATGTAAACTGCCACTTGTCATACGAGTAGAAAAAGCTCATTTTTAAACGCTAAGAAAAATCAATGAGTGCATTTAATTCCTTGATGAATTGCATCTTACCTGAATTATATCTTATATATCACAGAGGTGAAGAATGGTGACTTGCCAGTCCTCTGATAAATATCTGCAATTTCTTAATGAAAAAAAGTATAGATGAGTTGGCATTGAATTAGGATTATTTTTAAGTGTATGTAGTCATTTTGAAGCTTACAGTGTGTTAGACTGAAAAGAACTTATTTGGTTTGTTGCAAATACAAAGTTTAGATATGTGTGTAGTTCTGACTCTGACTTATTAATTGATCTTATTCCATTCCTGATGCTAACAAAGAAAATAAAAAGATTGTGAAAATTGTATAACATTTTAACAAGATTATATTACCAAATGTTACCATAGTTTAAAATAGTTAATATGTTTATATGACTTAGAAAAAAAACCTTCATGGTCTATAACAGTACTTCTCTTTCCTTTTCTGTTTTGTACAAGTAGATTTTGGCACATTAGCATCCTGATGAAAATGTGCCAGAGAGGCCCTGTGAAAAGCCATGTATCACATAAGGCTAACAGACTGTGAAGTACCTTTTTGAGTAAATGAAGATCTTAACACAATACAGTTGTGTTAAGAATTGTCTGAGACCAGGGCAATTTTATTATAATATAAAACATTCAGGTGTGTGAATACTAATGAATAACTCCTTTTAGAGGAGATTAGACATCTCTAATAAAAAGATAACAATAAAAGTTTAATTTTCATGTAATTCTAGTTCAGATTTACTAGTCATTAGAGGTATGAAGAAGTGTACTAGAAGACAAGTGCTTTATTTATAGCAGTAAAGATAAAAAATCGGCGAAACTGTGTACCACTGTACAGTGATCAGAAGCCAGTATGGCTCACTAGGACTGAACAGCTGGTTTCTTTCTCTTGACCTCCAAGAAGCTGAAGGTTAGAAATTGAGGATTTGCCTTTACATCTGATTTTAGTTTCAGAAATGACCAGGAATAGACAATTGAACTACTTTAACATTTTAGGCAGTACATTTTCATGATTTTGTAGAAATTTTAACTTTTGAAAAACAACAACTCTTGGGCTGTTAAACATTCATTTAGGTTTGTGGTTGCAGATAATCACTTTTTGACAACTGTTAAAAGGTTTTACAGTTCACCCTCCCCTGTTTAAATTATTCATTTAAATCATATGTCTTCACTATATGCAAAAAAGTGTTTTGTGAGAACTGTCATTGTCTTAGGTTATAGTTTACCTATATTTCATTTCAGAGAAAGAAGACTGGTTCCTATTTATAAAAGAGATCAATAATTGATACAGAAATTAGAAACCTGCAGTGCCTTCATCAGCCTGACTATATTTGCTAATTTCCTTGAAGAACAGTTCTATTCTTAAGAAAACCAGTGACTAAATTGTGTTCATTTACATACTGGGGATTCAATGAAGAATTGACTCAGTAATTTTATAATTTGCACCCAGGGGAAGAAATACACACATTGTGTACTTAAAACCTAAGCTAGGGATATTTCTTCTGCTCAGAATTGAGTCTAAGCATAATTTAATGAGAAGTTTTATTAGTTTTTATTTATGATGCAAACAGTTGTATCCTCTTGTACTCTATGGTGCTGGAAAATAACCAACTCTGGAGTCATACTACCTGCATTTGAATCTTCCACTCTTTAGTTGGGTTACTTCAGATTTATTTTCTTAGTCTGTCTGAACTTTAGTGTCTGAATGTATAATGTAGTAATAATTGAATTTACCTCATAGCAGTGTTAAAGGATTAAGTGAGATAATCAATGTAAAGTCTCGGCAAAGTTTCAGTCACACAGTAAGCTAATGGTGACACCAGAAAAGAAGCCTGGTATGGAAAAGAATTGCATATGAAGTATGCAGAATTGCATATGAACTATGCATGCAAATTCATTAATCTGGTTCATTTCATTGAGTAGTGTAAATAAAGATTTTAAAAGGTCACATTTATAGATTCACTTAACAATTTGGGCCATTGACAAAAAAGTTAAATGGGAAATATATAGTTGTACTGTTTTCACCCATATACTATAAGGTAAAAAAGTAATTTAAAAGATTGATGGTGGTGGTGGCAGTTGAGAAATAACAGCTGGTTTTTCATTGTGTGTATTTCTGAGCACCAGGAAGATGAGACTTACCTGTGTGCCATATCCTCTCCTGGAAGACCTCTTCTTTTTCTTTCTTGTTTCTGCTAATACTTTCTCATTATTCATCTCTGGAAAAGTAACAGTTATTTAAGTTTGTCTTAACTCAAATCTAAAAGTCAAATTTAAAAATATTTTTAACCCAATATAATAGTAAATTATTTCTTTATCACCAATATCTTTACTTCTACTCTTTTTTCTCCCTATAGATCTTATCTTCTAAATGAGAGCTAGGATTTGGAGTCCCAGTTAGCTCCATGTTCATGTAAAAGCTTGATTAGAACTTAATATCCAACCATTCTTAGAAGGCATAATTAGTAAAAGCATAAACCTAGGGCTGAGAACAATGGAGGATTTCACTTAAAGTGGACTAAAGGGGGCTGGGGATTTAGCTCAGCGGCACAGTGCCTGCCTGGCAAGCATGAGGTTGTGAGTTTGATTCCCAGTACCAGAAAAATACCAAAAAAATAAAAAAATAAAGTAGACTAAAGGTGGTCACGACAGCATGTTCTGTGTATGGCAGTCAGCACTTGGGGCTATCTTCATTCATAAATGGTTGATTTCTGTATTCAAGTCTTACATAGTAAAAAAAAATACAGTTTAAAATTCAAAATCAAAGACCCAATCCCAAAAATGGGCATCTGAGATACAGTTGTCAAATAAATATATGAAAAAATGTTCAAGATCATTGGTCATCTGAAAGATGCAAATTAAAACAACACTGAGATTCCATCTCACCCCAGAAAGAATGGCTATCATCAAAAAATCAACCAATAACAAATGCTTGCAGGCCTGTGGGGAAAAAGGGACCCTCTTCCACTGTTGTGTAGTATAGACTGGTACAACCACTCTGGAAATCAGTGTGGAGATTACTCAAACTAGGGTTAGAGGTCCCATTTGACCCAGCTAGTCTCCCTCTGGGTGTTTTCTCAGAAGAATTAAAAGAATCATACAGCAGCAATATATGTGCACTCATGTTTATAGTAGCACAATTTGTAAGAGCTAAATCTTGAAAACAACCCAAATGCCCATCAACTGAAAAATGGATAAAAAAGATGTATTTTTATACAATGGAGTATTACTCAACTATAAAGAAAAACTCGAGGCTTTTATAGGTAAATGGAGCAACTACTTTGAGTATAACAATATGCAATACAGTAGCTATTGTTAATTTCCTATCTTGTTTTGAAATTCTGTATCATTTTTGTTTTTTTCATTATTGTCTTTAAAATTAAAAAGATAAATTAAAAAAAGATAGGTTGTAACAAGATTTGTTAAAGCTGCAGTTCATCAATGGTGCATTTCTAAGTAACAACCTTTCTAAGTTCTTTGCTCTTACCTTGTAAACCCAGGGGAGCAGGCCTGCCATAGTGTCTTTGGGAATCTGTCCATATAGTGCTTGCATGTTGGGCCTGCCCCTTAGTTAGCCATGTGTTCTTGGCAGCTTCCTTAACCCTGGTAAGTATGTTCCTTCTCTGTAGATGCCAGTGATTCCTCCCCTGC